GCTGTTTCTGATTTAGATCTTTGTATTTCCAAATAATATGCTCATGCTAGTTCTTCACCTTTCAGTTTTAAATATTATACACTGATTTTCTACTATTAGAGATGGAGAGTGTAAATCCTTACATACTTCCCCTCTTCCATTCTAGTGTAGTTAGATCAAATTTTTTTTTTTAAAGATTTTATTTTTAAGTAATCTCTACCCCCATCATGGGGCTTCAACTTACAACCCCCAAATCAAAAGTTGCATGCTCCATGAACTGAGCCAGCTGAGTGTCCTAGATCAATTTTTTATTAATTAGAAGTTATTACTGTGAGTATAAATACAAATATTGTTTGTACCTGAGCCTTATAGTGTGCTATGATTGTTTTCCTTACAATTTTTATTTTCCTTGGAGTTAATAATCCCCCTCCCTGTTTTTATTTTTTAAGTTTTCTTTGTAACCATCAAAAATTTATTTTCAGATTTTCCAGCAGCAGTATAAATCTTTACCTGTCAAGTAATCTGTCAGTTCCATTTTTTCTTGGAGCCATTTCTCTGGAGTTCTTTTTTCTGCTCCAATCCAGATTCCTTGTTCTTTAAGGTCAGCTGTCAGCTTGGAACCTCCTTTTGCTTTTATCATTCTGGGAATTCCCTTTGCCTTTCCCTTTATTTCAAGTCTTCATATTATTTGGTTTCCTCCTATTTTGGTGAAGCATTTCTTCTGTTAGTTTCTTGAACAAGAAGATAAATGGAATGTAAATTTTTTGCTTATTTAAAAATGTTCTACACTTTAATGGTAGTTTGGTGAGGTTTAGCAGTCTAAGTTGTAAATTGTTTTCCTTTAGTATTTTGAAAGCCTTACTCCATAATCTTTCAGCTTTCAGTGTTACTGTTGAGAGACTGATGCTATATTAATTATTTTTCCTTCCTGTGTGGCTTTCTTCTTCTTGAAGATGTAGAATCTGATCTTTATTCCAAGTGCCTTGAGATTTCACAGTGGTAAATGCATTGGTATGTGTTTATTTTCATTGTATACATACATGTTTATTTACTTATTTATTGTTTTGCTTTTTATCACATTTTTAAACACTTAATAGATGGACATCTGTTCCTTGATGTTTCATCTTTGTTCATCTGTGATCCTTAAAATGAAAGTCTAGAATCTTCAGCACTAATTTTAAGTCCACCTGAACATTTAATAATAAACAAAGCTTTTAAATTTACCTTTTATTTTTGTCTAAGTCTTCATGAAGTTTATTCTAAGTAGGGTCATCATAAGGGAATTTGTGAATCATTCCAGTCAATGATTCTAAGACTTTCATCTTTTTGCTGTCTTTCTCAGTGGCACAGCTATGCAGGAGACCTCTCCAAGCAAAAGCAAAATTTTAGTAGCCCTTGATCTCGGATCCAGTTTTAGCTCCATGTGATGTGCCATATTGTCTTCCTCCATTTATACCCAAACTACTGCCTTCTTCATAGCCTTCCTGATACCATTCTCTGTGAAACCACTTCTGAGGAGAGAATTCCACTGTCTCATTTAATACTTTTATTGCACTTGATAACTTTTTTTTTTTTAAACTTGGGTATAGGCACTGGGGCATGTATATTTAATTCTTTCTTTTTTTTTTTTAAGTAACATATAATGTATTACCTGTTTCAGGGGTACAGGTCTGTGATTCATCACTCTTACACAACACCCAGCGCTCACCACAACACATACCCTCCACAGTGTCCATCACCCAGCCACCGCATCCCCCCACCCCCTCCCCACTTGATAACTTTTCTTATCTGAACTCATGTCTTTGAGGTCTTAAAACTTTTCTTGTATTTTTTGTAGTCTTTGATAATTTCTTCCGCTTATCTTTTCTCTCTTTCTGAACTTTTATTAGTTGGATATTAGACTAATAACTTGATGTTAGACTATTAGAGTATTAGACTGATCCTATAGTTTGCTTACCTATTTCTCTTAGGTTCCTTCTTTTCAAACTCTCCTGAGAGTAAATCTCTAGTCTTGTCCTGGGATTGGAGAGCAGTAGTTGCCTGGCTGTGCTGACTGGAGGAGGTCTGATTGCTTTTATACAGGTTTTCAGCCAGTCCTGTTCTCTATTTATTGCCACCTCTGATTTTATTTTATTTTATTTTTTTAAGATTTTATTTATTTACTTGGCAGAGGGATAGCGAAAGTGAGAGCCCAAGCAAAGGGGAGTGGCAGGCAGAGGAAGAGGGAGAAACAGGCTCCCCACTGAGCAAGGAGCCCAACTCTGGGCTCTATCCCAGGACCCTGGGATCATGACCTGAGCCGAAGGCAGACGCTTAACCGACTGAGCCACCCAGGTGCCCCGCCATCTCTAATTTTAAAGGGATTGTTGCTTCCATTTCTTAGGCCTTTCCAGGCTCTGTATTGGAAAAGCTTCTCCTTGGCTTTCTTCTGTTGAAGGTGCTTGGTGGGTTTTTGATATTGCCTGCTAGATTATCACTTGTGTATCTGCTTTCTCTTGGTTCTGTGCCTTTTTGTTCCTTTACTGTCTTTTCAGTGGAGGCTTGAGAGGGAACTTTTAAGTAGAAAACTATTGCTACTTTATGTCTGTTAAGATTGTCTTCTACTGGCCAGACTTAGTTTTTTTTACATTGGATGGAAATTTTGACCTCAGTTGACATTATTCTTTGGTCAAGTATTGATTAAGGGCTTGTTTCCATTTTGTTCAGTTTATCTTTGCATGTCATGTACCTTTTTATAGGGTATGGCTTGTAAGTGATATTTTTCTAGTGATAATGGTGTGATACAGTTCATGACAAAATGGAGTAAATGGTTTTATATTTTGAAAAAAAAAATTTTTTTTTTTTTAAGATTTTATTTATTTGCGAGAGAGAATGAGAGACAGAGAGCACAAGAGGGAGGAGGGTCAGAGGGAGAAGCAGACCCCCCGCTGAGCAGGGAGCCCGATGCGGGACTCGATCCTGGGACTCCAGGATCATGACCTGAGCCGAAGGCAGTCGCTTAACCAACTGAGCCACCCAGGCGCCCGAAAAAAAATTTTTTTTTAAAGATTTTATTTATTTATTTGACAGAGAGAGACACAGCAAGAGAGGGAACACAGCAGGGAGAGTAAGGAGGGGGAAGCAGGCTTCCCACTGAGCAGGAAGCCTGGTGTGGGGCTCGATCCTAGGACCCTGAGCAGAAGGCAGACGCTTAACGACTGAGCCACCCAGGCGCCCCTCTTTTGAAATTTTTTAAATTTATTTTTATTTTATTTTATTTTTGTTATTTTTTATTGTTAACACATAATGTATTATTTGTTTCAGGGGTACAGTCTGTGATTCGTCAGTCTTACACAATTCACAGCGCTCACCATAGCACATACCCTCCCCAGTGTCCATCACCAGCCACTCCATCCCTCCCACCCCACTCTACTCCAGCAGCCTTCAGTTTGTTTCCTGAGATTAAGAGTCTCTTACGGTTTTTCTCCCTCTCAGGTTTTGTCTTGTTTCATTTTTTTCCTCTCTTCCCCTATGATCCTCTGCCTTGTTTCTCAGATTCCACCTATCAGTAAGATATGATAATTATCTTTCTCTGATTGACCTATTTTGCTTAGCATAATACCTTCTAGTTCCATCCCCATCATTGCAAATGGCAAGATATCATTTTTTTTTTTAAAGATTTTATTTATTTATTTGACAGAGAGAGTTAGTGAGAGCAGGTACACAAGCAGGGGGAGTGGGAGAGGGAGAAGCAGGCTTCCCTCCAAGCAGGGAGCCTGATGTGGGGCTCGATCCCAGGACCCTGGGGTCGTGACCTGAGCCAAAGGCAGATGCTTAACGGCTGAGCCACCCAGGCACCCTGATTTCATTTTTTTTTTTTTGATGGCTGCATTATATTTTGAAATTATACATGATAATTCTTGACTCTGTCAGCTGAAGAAAAACGTGCTAAAAGTTTTGTGTGTTTTTATTGTATCAGGCCCTGTTAGATTGTTAGAGTGTTTGTATGCACGAAGCCAAAGTCATAGTGTTGATTTCTTTGTGAGATAGTTTTATCTTATTTCTTAGCCATACTCTGTGCTGGCTGTCATTTTCACAACTGCATGCCAGTAAGCATCTTAACTGGATGGGACAGCCTGACTGGATCTGTGCAGATATATCATTACTAATGGAAATTTAACTTAAAGTGCTTTGCATATAAACTAGAGTAGTATGTAATGGTGATAAATGTATTGTATAATGAAGATTACTAAGAGAGTTTCTGTTTCCTTTCGAACTCCTCCCCACTTGCTTCAACCACATTGGGTTCCTTATTGTTCCTCAGACATTTGAGGTGTGCTTCTAACATGGGGCTCCTGCTCTGACTATTCCCTGTATGTCTGCTTGGGTAACTGTTTCACCTAGAAGGAGTCTTTGCTCAAATTTCACCTTTATAATGAAGTTTTTTGTGACTGTTTAATACTTTAGTTAAACCCTCACTTTGCTACTTGTGAGGTCTTTTAACTGCTTTTTAAAGTTTCTTCTATGGGATTTATCACTTTAAAATATACATATGATGTTTATGGCCTGTTTTTCCTGCTAGAATGTGAGCACCATGAGGGCAAAGATCTTTGTTTTATTCACAGATGGATCTCAAGCACCCAGAACAGTACTTGACAGTACTTGACAGTACAGAAGCACTGGAAAGATGTGAATGAAAGGCATCCTGATTCATGCAGTTGCTTCCAGACAGCCTTCTAAAACGCCCTCATTGTGTTTTCCTCTATACTACAACATTGGAAAAATAAACTTTTTTCTCATTATAATTTTCCCCTGGCTAGCCTTTTTAAAGAGAGGTGGCTTTTCTGAGGATGTGCTAAAAGAAGCTAAAGAATTAGAGATGTGTTCAACTCTTGTGCACGTGAACTTATGTGTTGCCACCAAGCTTTCACATATTTCAGTAGAGGGAAATTTTGCTTTGGTATAGGTTCATCTTTGTCTATAAGAGCATTGTAGAGTCTAAGAGCTCAAAACGTTCATTTATTTATAGCATTCACACCCCCCACTTGCCCACACACACACAGTCATTATAATACTGCTAACGTTGACACAGTGCTTATTTTGTCCTGGTGCTTTTCATGTTTTATTTCATTTGTCTTCACAACTGCCTCATAAAATAAAGTGTAAGTGCTGTTAAATTATTAATATTTTAATAATAGTGAGGACCCCGGAGTGCAAATTACGACATAACTAGCCCAAGGTCACGCAGTTACTAAGTAGTGGAGTTGAGATTTGAACTCTGGCAATCTGGCTCCACAGGCCATGTTCTTAACCTTTTTATACAAAATTGTGGTAAAATATGCATAGCATAACAGTTACCATTTTTTTAAGTGTATAATTTAATGGCATTAAGTACATTCAAAATGTTGTACAACCATCACTCCAAAACTTCCCCTCTCCCTTCGGGCCCCTGGTGTAAAACCTCTCTTCTACTTCCTTTCTATATAAACTTGTTTATTTCTAGGTATTTCATGTAAGTGGAATCATATAATATTCATCTTTTTGTGTTTGAGCATAATGTTTTCAAGGATCCATGTTGTCACATGCATCAGTTTCATTCCTTCTTAAGGATGAATAATATTCCATTATATGTATATATCAGATTTTGTTTATTCATTCATCTCTTGATGGACCTTTGGGTTGTTTCCACCATTTGACTCTTGTAAGTAATGCTGCCGTGAACATTGGTTTGCATCTGTTTAACCCTGTTTTCACTTTTTTTGGGTGGAATTGTTGAATCAT